TTAAAGTCAGAATTCAGAGATTAAAGTCAGAATTCAGAGATTAAAGTCAGAATTCAGAGATTAAAGTCAGAATTCAGAGATTAAAGTCAGAATTCTGAGATTAAAGTCAGAATTCAGAGATTAAAGTCAGGATTCTGAGAAAAAAGTCAGAATTCTGACTTTAATCTCAGAATTCTGACTTCTTTTCCCATGTTAAACTGAAATAAAATTTAAAAATCAGTTACCTGAATATAAGCCGCGGAAGCTAAATTGCATGATTTGTACATATACAGGCCGCACCGAACCATAAGCTGCAGGTTTTTTCATGTTTAATTATGATATGCTTCGTGCACAGAGAGAATTGTCGGGAAAGAGGCAACTGTTTACTGCCAGATTGACTGCCTTTTACTTAAAAGCTACATCATATGCATTTCTACCGGTACGTTTGTTTTCCATAATGAGGGTGTCACACAAACCTTCTTGCACTCGCAATGTCCGTCTTTCTCGCTGTCGTTCCGTCTCATACCACTAGGGGTAGAAGTCTGCTTCCGGAGGACCTCCGCATTTCCGCGCGCGGCTACCGTACTTGTGTGTTGAAGCAAATGTGACGTCATCATGGTGGATGGTAGATTTAGGTATTACCCTAGTGTCCGTTAGCTGTAATAGTCCATAGATAAGCCGCATTGTTATATAAGCCGCAAGGTCAAAAAATGGGGAAAAAGTCATGGCTTATAGTCCGAAAATTACGGTAAGTGCATTTTTTCTTAAATTAAGGCGGTAATCGAGAAACTTTGCCAATGGAACAAGACAATTTACATTTTAAACTAAGAAAAAACAATTATTTTGTCTCATTTCAAGCACATAATATCTATTTATCTTATTTTTAGATTTAAAATACTCATTCCATACTCATCTTATTTACCTGCTCAAATTAAGGGTGAATACACCTAATTTAAGAACATTTTTACTAATTTTTAGGTCGTTTTTGCAGTGCTTTAAAATAAGATCCTGCCCCTCATTCAGGAATCCATGACAGAGGTCAAAGGTTAAAGCTTTAACAGATCATTTTTCTTTATTTCGCTGGAAAAAAGAAGCATAAAGGAGAACTTTTCATGCTGAGGTCACCTTAAAGCAGAAACATCTCATCTCTGTGTTTTTGCCTCATCAGGTGAGAGAAGAAAAGCAGAAACGTTTGAGTGGTGAAATGAAAGAGAAGGAGGAGCCCTTCATTTAACCTGCAGGAGGAACATTCAAACTGAGTGACATCACACACAGCATGTTAGCACAAGAGGGCTGAGCTCTGATTGACAGGCTGTAAATGAAGAGAGGGAGGGATTATGAAACATGAGGTTAGAGACGATGGGAAGACAGGAGGAGAAAAATCTAAATCTAGATCAGTCTTTTTTTCTTAAAATAAGTGCATTTGTTCTCCAATTGAGGACGAAAGTGAGAAACTTTGCCAATGGAACAAGACAATTTACATTTAAAATAAGAAAAAACAATTGCATTGTCTTATTTCAAGTTCATATTATCTAATTATCTTATGTTAAGAGTAAAGATACTAATTGCATTGGAAAATCATTGTATTTACCTACTCAAATTAAGGGTAAATACACTTCATTTAAGACATTTTTACTTATTTCTAGATGTTTTTTGCAGTGAGGAGGAGATAGAAAGAGCACTGGAAAAAATCTAAATCTAGATAAGTCATTTTTTCTTAAAATAAGTGCTTTTGTTCTTGATTGAGGAGGTAAAAGAGACTTTGCTGATGGAACAAGACAATTTACATTTAAAATAAGAAAACACAATTGCATTTTCTTATTTCAAGTGCATTTTATCTAAATATCTTATTTTAAGAGTAAAGGCCAATTTATGCTTCTGACGCATCGCCTCTGCAACCGTCACGTGTCTCTGTGCACGACCACGCCCCCCCATGCAGAGGTTATGGAACCGTTGTCGCGCACCTCAAAAAAATCCTGACTGGACGTCGGACGGTCGCAAACCGGCGCAGACCTCAAGTGGAAGTGCGCAGACAGAAATCAGCTGTGATTGGTCCTTGGTACGCCTTCCTGGCTGTCTGTGTGGTCGTCCTTCTTGATTCGGTGCCGGGGCGCGCCATTTTTAAAGACTGAGGAACAACTACAATGGATAACTATGAC